CGTCGTGCAGATTTGATGCGGAAACCCGTGCGCTGTTCAATCCAAAGACTTCAAAACGACCCAGGACACGGCACCACACGGCCCACTCCGTCTCTTTTTGTCTGTCTGCTGTCTCGCCCCAACGCAACACACGTTACGTCGGGTGGGTCCTGTGGTGGCCCGTTGGGTACTGGTGGTAAGGTTTTTTTCTTTTCTTCTTTTTTTCTTCCCCTTCTTCCCCCCTCCCCCTCCCCTTCCCCCTTCTCCCTTTCCTGCACCCTCTCAGAGTTCCGCTGACACGCATGGATCACGAGGGATCGATGCGGCTCAAGCGTTGCTCGGTTCCCATGTCCCGCAACTCTAAACCACATCATGCTTGAACGGTTGGGGCGAGACAGGTCTTGAGGGAGGTAGGGAGAGACAGACAGCAAGAGAGAGAGCGGGCGAGGAATGGGGTCTTCATATCATTCCATTCTTAGGGGGGGACCCGAGACCGCGTCCCTCGACGGCTCCCCAAGAACGACGACACCGCGATCCTGCATGCAGGAGTCCGGAAAACCGAGCGCTGGAGCGCTCAACCCCCCTCGTGACTTGCTTGTGTGATCTCAACTTTGGGTTAAACTACGTTCCGAATGTCGGGGGAGAAGGGGAAGAGGGCCGTGATGCATTGGCATGCACTGAGGAACGTGGGCCACGAACCAGTTTTGGGGCGAACGGGCAGGCGGATAGACGAGATGGAAGCACAAGAGGAAGAGTCGGAAAGGAAAGGAAAAAAGGGGCGGAGGGGTGGGGGGCACTCTTCGCGTCTTTCCCTCCCTTCTCCCCGACGGGGACGCGCTCCCGCAGGTCTGGCCGCCAAACCGGGCGGAGCACGGTCCGGAAAGGTTTCGAGGCAGCATAAGTATAAACAGATTTGACGGGCGCCGTGGCTATTTCCCTGCCCGCCTAGGCTTCTGGGCCTAGTGATGCTGGGTAGTGGTTAGTTCCCGGCCGGGTGCTTGCTAAGCAAGCCAAGCGGCGGCGGCGGCAATGGTGAAGTGGAAGTGGAGTGGAGTGGGAGCAGTACCCCCCCTCCAGGGCCCCAGGCCGACATCGTGAAGCGTCTCGGTGGTTTGGCGATGCAAACGCTGCTTTCGTCCGGCCTTTTGCGATCCGATCGCAGGTCATGTTCGCATGAGACCTTGACGACAACGACCGTTGTCGGCGGTGGCATGCGTCATACACCACCATGTCCCGCGCCCCCGGCTGACGGGGCCCTTGGATCTCAGAAGCCAAGTCCAAATCGGTCGCGAGCGCTAGTCTCAGCTGTCAGCGCTTCGGCGCGGGAGAAAGAGCCGAGCAGCACGGCTTGTTGGGTTTCCTGTACAGGTTTCAATCCACAAAAAAAGTTGGCGCACATGATGTTCCGCCAATTTCTCGATGGTCACCTTCTCGGCGGAAGCGACCGGGGACGTGGGGCTCCGACACCACCATACCGCACCGCACCGCACCGGCATCGGCACCCGTCACCCCACGGGCCGATGGCGTGTATTAGTTGGGGGGAGGAGGAGGAGGAGGAGGAGGAGGAGAAGCAAGGACCCGACAACGGGAATGGATTACCGTAAAGAAAGACAACAGGCGCTTACAGTGTAGAAGTACGTTGAAGGGAGAGGAATAAGTGGAAGGAGGAACCGGGAACGAACGCCGAGGGTTGGTTGCTAGACATGACAATTATCCGAGAGCCCGGCAAATATCTCGTCCCCCTTTTCCTTCTCCCTTTCTTTCTTTCCGGCACTCAGGCATCGGGACCTAGTGATCAGGGCGTTCCCTCATTTGGGATACGGCTGGAGCAACGAGCCCAGACTGAGGTTGATTGGGGGGTGCAAACATGACACAGACACATGAGGAAACGGTAAATAGAGCGCGCAGACGTCTTATGATCTGACACGCTCTGTGGGAACACAGAGAAACATTATTTTTTCTAGGCATGCATCATCCCGAAAACCCATCCTTTGGGTGAACCATAATACACCTCCATAACACACCTCCATAGTCGGCCGCGCTACTACAATCCCATCTCGCTGTTCGTATCGCGTCACGTCCCTGTTTCTCCACCGCGCGCATCGAAGGTATCCATATGTAGACGCCGATGCCAGACAAAACCAACCCCGGGATTAATGGGGGGGGGGGGGACTGATCCCCTTTGACTCAACACATAAAGAATACATCCTCGGCCGTTTTCCATTTGTTGTCAGCTGACTGTTGACCAATTGCCCATCCGGCCCATAGACGGGAAGGGAAAAAAGTAAAGAGCCATTGTGTCCAATTCGTAATACGACTCCCCTCCTCACGATACAGACTTCTCGCTCGAGTCCTGCTCAGGGTGGTAGTTGGTCTCCCCTAGCATCGCCGTCGGCTGGGTGGTCATGGCCGTTTGTGTGTTGGGCTGCGGCTGCGTATGCACCGTCGGACCCGTGGGCTGCTGCGCCGGCGGTTGTGATGGGGACCGGGTCGCCGCGTTGCCGGCCGTAGCTGCCTGCAGTCGCTGGTCTAGCGTCTTAAGTGCCAGCGCTCTTCTGCGCTCCGCCTCAGCCCTCGCGCCGCCGGGGGCGCTTCTTTGGATGTAGTTATTGCCTCGTCCAGCCGGGCCGTTGTCTGAGAACGGGGTGCATAACCGCATGGCGACCAGCACCTCGAAAATCTGGGCCGAGACCGTGGCCACGAACGGCTTCACCGGCGCGGGGAAGAACTCGGCAAACGCAAAGGTCTCGCTTGCGTCTCCACGGAGAGACGTCGGCTGAGAGGAGTCGAGGTCGGGGAAGACGGTCTTGTAGAAGCGGAGGTAGGTCCAGCTCGTGAGGAAACCGCTCACAGCAAGGGAGAAGGATGCGGTCGTCAGAAGCGGCGTCAAAGACAGGACAAAAACGATGCCGAGGTATAGCAGAGGAAATCTCGGGACTCGAAGGGACAGGATGCCGCGGAACAGAGTGACGGTATGCGCCGGGACGAGCTGGCTGAATGCGACGAGGAAGGAGATTTGCATCGGGATCGAACCACCAATGACGGTCAGTCTGTCGGTACTTGGTTAGCTTACCAACATTCAGTAGCACCAGATCCATCCAACTTACGTCCACCGCTCATTTCTTGTCAAGGTAAAGAATATGATCATGAGAGCAAAGGTCAAGATGTTCGGGACCAGAGCAGTGATGACAACGAACTTAGCCAGCTCTGCCGACGACCAAGCTCTCTCTAGATATCTGCCCCCCTGATAGATGGTGACGCAGGCAATTCCAAGCGTAAATATGTTGTTCTCGACAAATGTGGATGTCAGAAAAGTCCACGGGTAAATAAGAGAGAGCTGAGGGATAAGCGTCAAGTAGGGTATCACGATCTCAGACGTCGCGCTCCATTGGCGATAGCGGATCGCAGCGCTCAGAAACGACTGCACAAGGAGCACAGCCAGAAGGGCCCGGGTTACCGGCGGGATGTTGATTCGAGGCGGCATGTTGAGACAGCTTCCGGTCAGGGCGGTGGACAACAACAGGTCATCTAGGGTGTAATCGTGACAGCACCAGCTCGCTTTTTCTGCCCTTGCTATCTGGTCCTGGAGCCTCATCCAAGGGGGAGTGAATGACAACGTTTCAGTGGGTCTCCCGATCTCGGATTATAGTCGCACCGGAGCATGGAGATAAGCTAGTCCACTCTGGGGCTGAAATCATATCATGGAGCCTGGCGCACAGGCCATTGCAGACGGGATTGATTGGGTCCCGCGGTCTATTAAGACTGACACGGGCCTCTTCCCTAGCTGCGGTACGTATCCTCAAGCCACGTTCTCCAAACTTTCTCGTGTCTCGATGCGACGATGCGTCTTTTGGCAAGACAAGCATTGGTGGCAAACGGGTCCTTCCGACAACGCAGGTCTTCCCTTGGCAGCTCGACCTTTGGGTTAAGTCGGAGTTGAACGGTAGCTGCAGCAGCAGCAGCAACGCACAAAGAGCACAAGGAGCACAAACAGGCACGGTGGTTTTTCAATCATCCACAGATCGATGGATGATGGGCAAGGAGGGGGGTGTGGGAGTGTTCCAATGGTGGATCCGACAGGTCTTCGATGCGGTCGAAACGGGGTTCTATCCATGCAGGGCACACTCTTTCGGTTGAACGTGCCAGCCCAGCCCGGCCGTGCTAACCACAGCCAAAAGCTGCCGCTCGTCCACCTTTTTCCATAGCTGCCACCTCCGCAGGAAGAATGTTTGTTTTGCTTTGGCATGGTCAAAATTTGTAGAACATGACGACGATGTCGAGGGGAATGCCGCAATAGGGAACAAGACACGCTCCCCGCGACGTAACCCAATGAGAGCTTCGGTAACGGTAACAGCGCGATTGAGGGTGAGAGTGGCCTGACGGGAAAACTGACTCGGGAGCAAGTCCCCTGGATGCCTTCGGACGGTGCCGCGAATCCTCGGACGGCTCGCCCTAAGACCACCAGAAAAAGTGACAGATCGCTCGTTGCCTGACTAGGTTGGCCGGGGAGGAGACACTTCGCCATGGCATCATCAAGTAACAGGGAATGACTGTCATTTTGAAGGAATCCCGCCACCCAATCGGTCAGGCGTCTCCGGTGCAACGGCTGTCAACTCGCCATTCTGCAGCTGGCGGCTGAGGGTCGAGGAACCCCAGCCCTCGCCATCCAGATACCCCAGACCTTGCGGCGGCATTGCGTTGGGATGCATGTCGCCATTGATTAGACGGTCTCGGATCAGAGAAACAGTATGAGCATGACCATGAGCATCAGCACGAGCGCAGCACGAGCGACAGCGCCATAATCAACCGAGTCTGTGCTGTCAGGATGCCACCCGTGGGTGATCTCTGTGTGTAGGCGTCCTGCCACTCCCAGGGGGCGTTTCCGAACGCCAAAACGTTGGCCACCGCTGACGGGAGGACGTTTGACCACAAAACGAGGTCCCCATTCGACTGATGTGCCGGCGTGACTGACCAGCGATGAGTGGCCATAGAGAGGCGGTGGCAGGGGGGGGGGGCTGAAGATGGCCCCCGGAGCTATTAAAGATCGAAGGCCATGCAGCCATCACATCCTTGTTCACACCCACAGGCGCCTCGCAATCAGCAGTTCCCGCCAGGGAAGGGAAGGCCCCCTGATGTGCAATGCCACGTACCCTATCCGTAGGCCGTACACGAGAGGTAACCTCGCGAGGAGACGGGAGGATGAGAATAAGGGAGCGAGCAGGAAGGTCGAGAGGCCTCGAAATGAGGAGGACGACGAGGACGACGACGACGATGATGGGTTTGCCCCTTTCGATGGAGTCACTTCCGGTAGCCGTCCTGCAGCGGCAGGCCGTCTCCCCTCGACTCCGACGTTGGGCTTCCCCAACTGGATGTACTCGTACTGCACTGTATACCCCACTTGGCACCGTACCCACCTACCTTGTCAAGGTGTCAATCAAGGTTTCGAGGTACGTACACGACGGGTAAGAATTGGAAAACAAACCGCTGACCGTCTGCGCGGGTGGCAGCCCTGAGAGAGGCGCGGCCCTCTCTCGGCATTAGCCTCCAAGGCGGTGGCCGCATGGGGCCGAAGTCAGCGGAAAAATTGACGTACCGTCAATTCGTGCATACAGGCAAGGTCGTGCTGCAATCACAAAAGATGGTTGGGGGGAGTCGTCAGGACACTGCACCAGTGCACCAGACGGGCATGTGTGGCCCGGTGCTGGTGCTCTCTCGAGTCTCCAAAGCCTGGCAATGCGGCGTTGCTTCCGCGTGTGCTCCCTGCTTCGATGGTGCAGTTTGGCTTTTGTTGGTTGCTACTAGGGGTTAGAGCTTCAAGAGTCAAGACTTGGGACTGAGACTGTTTCTGGCCTCTCTCCTCCGTCCCTCTTCCCCCCCTCCTGGTCCCCCAATGAATAAATGGGGCCGAAAAAACGACATCATCGAAGACACAAGGGGGGGTGTCGCAGCACGGGGCAGGCCACCAAATGATAACAAAGAGATTGGATTCCATTGGTGTAGATGCACGAGTAAGATACGATGTGCGGTAGAGCCAGAGTTGGAAATTCGAATAGCAGATATTGAAGCTATCGGACTTTCCCAGTTGTTCTACGAGACCAGGGAGCCCACCTTCCATAAGGAGAATTTCGAGCTCCGGTGCTTCTTGATGTAGTGTACCTACGTAGGTACCTACCTAGGTACGAATTGATAAGTATTCCTGATTGTACGTGTGCCTACCTTGCTCCGTTCAGAGTTCAACGTTGCCAGCCCAGGTTGTCCGGCTGCCAGGACGAGCCCCGCGACCCTCTCCCACGGTGTCTTGCTTGTTCTGGACCCCTGAAACGATCGAGTTTTTTTTCTTTCTTTTCTTTTTTTTTTTTTTTCCTTCTTACTTTTTTTCCGTTCTAATGTGCTTACGCGGGTCGATCTATCAATACTTTGATACATACCTACATGCACCAAGACATGGTTTACCTAGACCTGGTTCGAGGTGGTCAGGCGCGAGAGGCTGTCGTTCCCCAGCGCGATGGTTGTGAAGGATGACCGCATTGCACAGGATGCTGTCCGGACTGGATTTGTGTGTTCGGTAGAGTCCCCTGCCGCGCTCGCATTGCACCACAGCGCGGAGAAGGCTAGCGAAAAGCGTAGCGACGCATTATTCCCGCCCACCCCCCCGGGGCAGCCCAGGCAATGTACCTACCTCGAGGTTTTCCACTGTCAATATGCCACACAGTCAGAGGCAAGGTACTTGGGTCATCACAGACGAAGCAAGCGCAAGGGGCGACCCTGTCTTCTCGGCCTGGTATTTTGAGTAGCAGCCCCAAACACCCAAATTGGTGGGTCATAACAACAGATTTGCTTAACGGATGTGGATGGCACGGGATTAGCAGAGAATTATCGTTTTCTCGAACCCTTCTTGCCCATGCATAGGCACAGTGCATCCCAATTCCCCTGACGCCGACCAAGACAATGGTGACAAGAAAATAAGGCGAAAAAATGACGCAGTAGCCAGTCGACTTCTCTCTACCCAGAGATTCAGCCAAATGCGGAAGGGATGATGCTCAGGATCACTCCCCAAACAACGAAGATTGAAAGAATAATCGACTGCCTGCCTGCCTGTCTATTCTCTCGTCACATCTCTCTGTCGGCTTTTATCCAACGCTACAGCACCGTTAATCGCTACTACTACGTACTGGTTGACTGGCCCGGGAGCACTTCGAGGAACGGCGGCCCCAATGGTAACGCTGAAGGCTAAGTTCCTTGGATCATGCACTTGGGACTTGGGGCCGGCTCCACACCCGCCCCCGTCCCGGTTCATGGGAGTCTCCAAGATCCGTGTCTGGCTGATGCTGCCTGCGCTCGTTCGTTCATTACTAGTATTCCCTTGGGCTTTCGAGGCCGAGGCCGGGATCCAGGGGCATCAATATGGTCCCTCCCCCCTTCCCTCTGATGAGTTCCCTGTTGCTCCTCATCCGACAGCGACTTGTGTGTGTGTCTATGGGTGTGGGGGAGAAGAGAGTGAAGAGGTGCGACGTTGTGTGTGTGTGTGTGTGTGCGCGCGCGTGCGTGTGCGCGTTGCAACTGCATCTCCATGTGCTGCATCGAAGCAGGAGGCTGAGGGCCAAACGTAAGGGTACCTACCTCACGTGGAGACGACGATGGAGAAGAAGGGGAACAGGTACTTCGTACTCAATGGTTGGTTGTACCGGCTGTGTGAGGTGATTTGGCCGATACTGCAAATGCCAGTGCCATGGCCATCCCACATCAATCCACCATTAGCTCCCCTACGCACACCCGAGTTCAGCGTACGAGTGCAATGCGGAGGATAATGTAGAGCAAGACATGCAAAGAGCGACAAGAGGCGTGTGTGCCGATCCCGTCATGTCCCTGTCGCAGCAGTGCTGTCTCTCTCCTTCCTCTTCTTCCTCCCCCCCCCCCCGGGCAGTCTTTGGTAGTCCCCTACCTCAGTCGCTAGCCCAGTCAGCGTCCGCCATTGGATCGAACTTGGCTGCTGGCGCTAGCGCCACACCTCACGCCTGGTCTCGCCTAAACAAGGTACATTGCCTACGTACCGCCAGATTCAGATTCGCCCATCCTTCCATTTCATCCACTCTTGCGGGCTTCCTCAATCTTCAATCTTTCCTCTCATCTCGAAACGACGACCGCAAAACCGCCTCACCCTCGCCCTCGACGACGCCCTCAGAAGACTCGAGCGCGAACGCCTGGCCGTCGAGTCCACGACCAAGTCCCCCGTAACGAACTGATCTCGATCACGCCGCCCACAGCGGCACTTCGCGGTATCGGCATGGTCACCAAGGAGTACCTCGACTCGGACAGAGTCAACTTTCTCGTCTGGAGGTGAGTTCACCCTTTTCGCGTCTCACCCGCATCCGCCGCACCTTCACACGCACAATCGCGCGCCTCACTCGCCTCGCGCCCTGCGCCTTTGTCCTTCTCGTGATCCGACACACGAGAGCCGGACGGCCTCTCTCACCTCTTCTCCCTGTCTGTGGGCATTGCTAACGTTGATCCGGCCCACAGGTATCTTTTGGAAGGCAGTACGTGATGACTGTCTGGGCACCGCCAGCGACAGCTGGTACTGGGCCATGTCTTTTTTTTTCTCCTCCTTCTCACTGACGATTTCAGACTATCGAGAAACCGCTGCCAAATTCCAGAAGGAATGGCACATTCAGCAACCTCATCGTCATTTTGAATTCGCAAATCACGTCAAGAGTCATGCATTAGTATCCATCATCAATAAGGGCCTCTGCTATCATGCCCTTGAGAGAGAGCACGCGAAGAAATCGGTAAGTAGATTTAATCCCCGGCCGTGGCTGCTTTGTTCCTTATCCACCCTCCCCTCGGCGTCGTGAGCAGCTGATGCAGTCGGCGACGATTGGGTGGTGGGTGAGAGAGAGAGAGAGAGAGAGAGAGAGAGAGTGTGTGTGTGTGTGTGCGAAGTTCGGCAAACTGACACTTTTTCTCGTTGCGCGTGCAGGTGCCCCCAGATGCTGCGGCTGCGGCCGAAGCACTGCAGGTGGGGTTGTTTGGGCCATTGATCGCTCAACCGCCTCACAAAGTCGAGGAGGACGAGGATGCTGATGGCGAGGTGGACGACACAGAGATGGAGGTCGAAAACACTCGGAAACGCCAATTTGACAGCCGGCCACAGCAGCACATGGTGAATGGCGGCTCACCCAGCAAGCGGCCCAGGCTCAGCAATGGCTACGAAAGCACAAACGGGGCGGATGCAGCCACTGACCCCATGGAGCTAGATAGCCACGGTGACAACAACCACGCCTATCCGTCGCCCCTTGAGGGCGAACAAGCTCCGACGCCCACTCCGAGAACAGATGGTCCCGAGCAAGGCACGCAGGTCGACAAAGTCGAGGAACTTGCTACCGAAACCACTTTTTTGCGATTAATGCCCGATGACAGCAATAGCACCACCACCACCACCACCAACGTCCAAGACGGCAGCGACTCGACGACTGCGACTGCTACTGCAAGTGCAGGTGCAGGCGGCCCCGGAACTTCGCCCTCGCCAGCCAACGGCGAAAACGCACCCATCTTGTTGCGCTGCGAGTGGAACCCCAAGGACCCGTCAATCTTGGCGGCTGCTGGAACCGATGCGCTAGCCCGCATTTGGACCATCTCACGGTCAAGCACAATGACGCCCGCTCCAGCGCCCGAGCCTGACGGTCACGTGCATGGTGTCCATCGCCCGTTTCACAGTCTCATCGACGACGAGACACCCAAGACGGCCACGGTAGGCCAGCTCGCCTGGAACTGGGGGGGAACGGCCATCGCCATCGCAACTGAGCATGGCGACAAGGCGTCTGTTCACATCTGGGCAAAGGACGGTTCGCATATCGATAAGTTTGACGTTTCGGACCCCCCCGTCATCAAGCTCCGTTGGAGCCCGAGCGATGCAGCGCTTCTGGCTATTGCACCCGACAACAGCAGCGTCAACGGAAACGCCGGCGCCCTTGTCACTGTCTACCACTCCCTAACCTCCAACACGCTGTCGTATTTCTTGCCGAACCACGACTTACTCAATTGGCCGCTGGACGCCGCGTGGACCAGCGAAACCGAATTCCTCTTGACCGGCGGAGACGTGATGCTGTCCCTGCAGTGCACCGAGACGTCAATCGTGCCGAATAAGAAGCTCGAGAGCCGAGAAGACGACACCTTCACCCAGGTTGTCTATGACTGGCGCTCGAAACTTGCCGCCACCGCGAGTGACAAGGGTATCCTGGATGTATGTATCCCGACACGCCTGTGCTGAGAGTTCGGCTGACTCAACCTTTCTTTTTAGCTCTGGGATGAGAATGGCCAGCGCCTGTCAATAACGGCCCATTCTGGTGCTATCACTGCCGTGCAGTGGCAACCTCTTCCAGAGGACTCTAACATTCCAGAAGACGAGCGGTTAATCGCAACGGGAGGCGATGATTGCGCCATCATCATATCCAATGCCAAGGACCCGGAGCCAGGTAAAGCCAAGTCTATCTTGACTATGGAATCGCCCATCGTCTCCATCGCATTCACCCCTGACGGCGCCTTCATCGCTGGAGCCACGGCCGGTCGTATCCTCATCTGGAAAGTGGGGGAACATACAATGCCGAGGGCCAGCTGGAGCAGAGCACCGCACCCTGGCTGGCTTAGCCCCAAGGCCAGCTCGGAGCCGGAGGAGGAGGATGAGCACTGCTTGTGCTGGGACGCTGATGGACAAAGACTCGCTTACGGGGCCAACAGCAGGGTAAGTCAGCATTGGATGTCATTGTGGATCAGTTCTAACCCAGCGCAGTTGGCTGTCATCAACTTCCGCAGATAGACAGCACTCGGACCGTATCGCTCGAAGCATTCAATGGGATGTTAGAAAGTAGATATCCCCGGTCTACTGACACATATACACACAGTCAGCACTTTCGAGGCAGACGTCTTTGCACGTTCGCCACACGATGCCAACCGCACGGAACAGCCCGTGCCGCACATTTATCAATCAAAAATCATCTGCAGTTTCCGGCGTCGTGACGGTATTGTTTACAGGGGGTACCATAAGATCCTCAGACGGGATTCGGGGAGGAGCCGGCTGCCACCTTACATACATACGCATATTGTCGTCATCTTACAACTGAGCTTCTGGAAAGAAGGACTGGAGTCAGCGTTGGTTTAGATTCCGCCGTGGTAGATGATCCGGTCGCTTTCCTCTTCCTCTTTTCGGTCGAATGCTTTTCGCTTTTTGTTTCTTCAACTGGATGGGTTTCGTGTTCGGGAGCGGGAGAGGGATACGTTGGCACTCGCAGGGGCAGCGCGTTGTACAATATACCTGTATATACCAACCGATTTGGAAAGAAAAAAAAGCGGGTTACGACTTGACGTCTCTTGGTTGCTACTTCCAGGAATGAGAAATCGGCTGTGGCTAGGGGTACAGCGAGAGGATACTTGTGGTGTCGAAGCAGTCTGCGAATCATGCTTGTAAGGGGCGGTGCTTTTCACAAGTTTTGCAGGTTTTACTCTTTCACATTTCCCGTTTTGCCCAGTCCAGTGCTCGTGCATTGGGAGGGATTTAGAAAGGCGAGGGAAACCAGTGGCCTATCGGCTTCGCACTTGTGTTGATGCTAATTCAGCAGCGTGACTGACTGTTTTGAAGCGATTGGGCAATTGAATGATGTGCTAGGAAGAAGAAAGGGGCAGAGGGAAGGTTTCCATTCTTCCTGGCCTTGAATCTGAGCGCCTTCGGTGCCTTCAGAGGAGAACTCCAAGCTGGTAGTTAACCGGTCTATCTCGAGAGTTACTTGCCAGGGAACCGCAGTGATGCCATTTTTACGGCTTTGGGGGTTTCGGAGTATCCTGGGTCAGAACACAGCTTGAAGAGAACAGCACCGTAGCATCTTGGTTGCTTCCTCCAACCTTTGTATGATCTCCCTCAAAGGGGCCTGTCACGGGAATCCTTGGTGACACAAACGTGCTCGCAAACAAACCGAACCCTCCTCCCCCGTCCCCCGCATCGGGTCCGAGGATACCACACACAACGTTCCGCCCCACTTCCTTATGTCGACTGCCCCCCCACATCAAACTGAACCACCGACTGTGCCATTTCCATCCGTGCGCATATCAATAATACCATTGTCCAACTTCGATACGACCGACATAGGGTGGGTCAGGCCAGAGATCAACGGTATTGTTCCGCGACTCGAGCGAACAGGGAGCTCTCAAGATTTCACAAACTTGTCAGCTGGCACTCTCAGAAAGTCCTGACGCAGGGAAACGGGCAGCGCAAAGATACAGCTGTCTTGCGCGTCACCGCTCACCTCACAAACGCCATTTCTCCTTCATCTCAACCTCACAACCAGCCACTCCTCCAGACACCCCCGTCACGCCGCCCTCGCACCGCGCACTCGCCGAACATGTCAGCCTCCTACTACACCCCCCAGCGCCCCTACTTCCCCTCCCCGCAGCACTCGTCCTCCTCCTCCGCCGCGCGACCCGCCGCGGCCGGCACGCCCGCCCCGCCGTCCTTCACGCCCGCCATGCGCGACCGCCAGGCCCGCGGCAAGGACCCGTACTCCCCGCACGACAGCCCCTCGGACTCGGACCTCGATTTCGACGGTGTGGACTCGCCCTCCCGCGGCGTCGGCTCGCTAGGGCACCTGGGCCCGGGACACGGGCACGCCCACGGGGGGGCCGCGACGGGAGGAGGCGTCGGCGACGGCGACTCGCATGAGGTCAGGAGGCGCAAGCTCTGGGCCGTCTCGGTGCTCGAGGACCCGGAGAGGCTTGCCATGTACGCGTGTAGTCGCGGGGACGTGAGTAACCACCCCCCTCTCATCGTCCGTTGTCATGACGCGCCATGTACTTGGAGGGGCGGCCGCCCTATTCGTTTCGCACCTGTGTTGCTGACGAACAACGCAGAGCATCCCCGGCACCCGCCTCTACTTCACCCGCATACTGTGCGGCTTCGACGAAGAGCCTGCCGACCCCCGTAAGGCCGCGTCTGCCTCGCGGCGGGACCCGCGCCGGAGGAGCGCCGGTGGCGAGCGCATGGGTCGGCACTGACCGACGGGTGCCGCGGTCTTGAGGTGCTTCCTCTTCCCAGGTCAGCTCATTCTGTGTCCGGGGGACGGTAAGAACTGGGGAGGGGGGAGGGATTCGAGTATGAAAAGGCAGGTAAACCGATGACGGCCGTTCCTTTGCTTGGGACGGCTCTGCCCACCGTCTTGCGCGCCGGGACGGCGGTCGCTTTCGAGGTTTTGCTTTTCGGTCAGGGAACAACAACGAGAAACGAGGTCAATGGAATGAGAAACGAGGTCAAGGGGTCATCAGTCACATGGATTCAACAGCGTTTATGAACTTTGTCAGGTCTAGCCGCTACACGGGAATTGCTTCAATCAACAGGGAAATGGTATTACACTATGAAAGGGATTTGTGAATGATGGTCTTGCTGGCATCCGCGCCGGATTAGCCAGCTGACCTAAGCTATATGTTCCTCTTGGCCGTCTCTAGAAGTTGGTATCTCGCAAGGTATTCCACCGCAGTCATCATAATAATTACACGGAATAACGATGGCCGTACTTAGTGAGGTAGACCACCGTAGTGCTAAGCGTGCATGTAAACTATGTGCAACTGTAGGACCACGTCCAGCCGTCCCATCCCGGGTAAGGGGCTTTTGGGAGACAAAAAGTATGATAAAATAACAAAACCACCAACTCCGAGTAATGCAATGGTCCGGTCTATCCAAGATACCGCTATCCTCTTGAGCCATCCAGATTGCCTCTCAAGCGTATCTAGCGCTCTGAGTCCTGTAAGGTCCCCAGCCGCCATGCTGCTGGTACCCATCTTGATAACCGCCCTGGTAGGGCATGGAGCCACCTGGACGGGTGGCGGCCGGCGGTGGCGGCGGGACATTTGGGTTGCTCCAAGCACCCGCGTGACCGTTCCATCCGCCGTTGTGTGACATTGGCGGAGGCACCGGAACCGTCCGGAGACGTTTGGCCCGGGCCCGGCTCCTGCTCCTGCGACACGCTCCGCAAATACAGCTAAACAAGACTATGAGGACAAGGAGGCCGGCGACAATCACAACGGGGATGAAGATGTTCTGGTTGTTCCGAATCCAGTCCAATATTTCGCTGCCAGCATTGGCGCCCTGGCACTGACCGTTGGAACACCTGCCGCCTCCCGTGCACGATGTTCCGTCAAGGAAGTTTTGGTTCATCGTTACACAAGCGTTACTGCTAATGCTGGGCACGTTGCAGGAGATCAAACAGTCCGAGCTGCCACTATTGCAAGAACTGACCGAGCTCGAGTTGGTACGGGAGCCCCAGGCAGTCAAACACTGCTGGTCGCGAGAAGTGCACTGGCCGGAGGCGCACGTGAGGCCCTCGCCCGAGTTCCCACACGAGTCCCCGTCCTGCTTGTGCACGTCCGGAGGGCAGGTAGGCGCCGCGCCACTACAAGTCTCCTCGGGGTCGCAAGAGCCGGTGCTCTGGCGGCAAACAGTACCGTTCGAAGCAAATTGACACTGCCCGTTGCAGCAGTCCTCGTTGGCTGGGTCGCATACGGAACCCTGGGTGAACTTGCATGTCGTGGGGTTACAGCACCTGTTGCTCCCGCAGCCAGCAGTGCCGCCACAATCGCAATCCTCACCGGCCTCAACGATGCCGTTACCACATTGACTTCCGGTGATGGTATTGACGCCGCGGTTGTTCGCCAGACAGCTCGACTTGACCTGGCCACGCAGAAGGCCATTGCAGATGTTGCCGATACTGCAGGGTGAGAAGTTGCGGATGCCGGTGCCGGTCGAAGGGTTCATAATGAAGGTGCCACCAGCGTCGCAGGTGCTGGAGCTCATAGGACAGCATCGTTGCATGTTGGAGTCGCCGTTGCTGCATGTTGTTTCCGTGCAGTCATGCACAGCGCCAAATGTGTGGCCGATTTCATGAGCGGCGACCTGCCATTCACTCGGCGTCTGGATCACGACGTTTGCCGAGGCAACAGTCTCGTTGCTATTTTGGTTACCCGTCTGAGCTCCATCGATACAGGCTTGTCCCAGCCAGGCGAGTCCGACGGCAGAGTCGGTACCGCAGGTGCTCATCAGGGTCCAGAAGGCGTTGGAATCATCCGACTTGCCACGCCATGCCGAAAACAGGTTCAGCCTGTCCGTTATGGTGACGCTGTTGCTGCAGGCGACATTCCAGGGCGCAGTCGAACTGGCCTGTCCGGGGCAGTTGGCGTCACTGATGGTCAGGTTCTGGATTCCGAGAGAGATGTTGAACGTGCTCTCGTACACCTGGGACGCGGAGTTTATCACATCGATGATGTTCTGTCTGACAGCCTGCGAGGAGTTGAAAGAGGCCGTATAGGTGCAGTCGGTGGCGACGCCCAGTAATGCGATCTTGCGCGTCGTCGGGCAGCCGTTGGTTTGTCCGATGGTGGAGACAAGGTTGACACCAGCACCGTTGTTACCGGTGCTGCCATCGACCGACTGCCTGCCAAAAATGGAACGTCCGAAGAGAGAGTTTGATGACACGGCCGGCAGGGGATTGGGGTCCTGTGCGTCAAAGACGTTGTAGTCGGTGTTGAAGTCCAAGCTGTCCGAGTTACAGGAAGACCGGCCGAAAATGTCACGCTTCTTCTTCAGATCCTCTCTATCGGTCCAGTGTTCGATTATGTCCGAGTCCCTCCACACGACCATGTACTCGTCGGGGTTCTGCCTGCTGGGGGCGTCGGGGTCCTCGCGGTGCTTACGGGCATGGTAGTTGGCGCCGGTCTGGATGCGGTGGTGGTCGTCGTCAATCCGGAAAGCACCCTCGAAAATGGGGTCAGCGCCGTCTCGGTGTACCGTGATTCGAGCCCATCCAGCGTGCCTCCAGTCGTCAGGTCGTCCCTCGGGACGTACGAAGGCCTTTCCTCTGAAGACGCGGTGTTCCGACCTGTCAACCGTCTCTGTCGTGTGGACCTTGCCATCGCTGCCAATGTAGTTGACTTGCAGGGTGTCGTGAAGGATGTCATGGTTCGGCTCCAGCGCCAGGCGGATTTCCTGCTGCTTATCGTGCAGCGCGAAAGTAAGGTCGAAGTGCGACAAGGCGTGGCAATGTTGTGAAGGAGAGTGGAAGACGGCATCTTGGAGGATAGTCACGTACTTCAACGGGTTCCGCTGCGTCGAGTGTGCTGCATGGCATTAATTCCGAAGTCTCTCTTTGCTGTCTCTCCCGGAGGGTGGTTTTACCTAGCGCTTCTTGTGAAAGCACCGCGAGGCCGGCAAAGGCAGCGGCTAGTTTTCTGAAGGAAACCATCGTGTATGGCAAAACACCCGCAAACGGGGTGAGGCTCGTGGAGGCCTCTCTCAGTTTTGCGGTGTGGCGTAAGCGCTGCAAATAGGGGGTGTTGCGTTTGGTGATAGTAAGCCAGCGGAGTACTCTCTGTACCAAGGTTGGAGGCGTCAAGTATTTTCTTGCAAACACAAAAATCAAATGAATGAACAATACCTAGACGACCAAATAAAGAGCAGGTAAGAAGGAAGAAGTAGTAGAGTAAGAACAAGAATCAACGAATGGACAAGCGGTGGTGGCGGTAGTGGACGGGAAAGAAGGTGGAAAGTCCGGGAGTTGGTGCCCGTTCTGGATGATGCGGGAGGTGCAAGTGCCAAAGTGGACGACGACATTAGGGGGCGGTGTTAGATGCTAGGCGTGCCTACTGGCAGGCAGCGAAGCGAGTAGATTGCGCAACACCATATCTTGGTACGGGGGCGTGGGTCAACTGTATTGGAGCGCTCGAGTTGCTGTGGATTCCAGAGGCGGGCTGGGCGAGCTTGGTAACTCTTGGCCTGCTGCTACTCGGCGACGCGATATGGCAACACCAATACCGAAGTATTCTTCCCTTAGGTACCTAGGTAGGTACCTATGCTGGGACACCCTTAATCAATCGCTGCCAGGTACCCTGCACACCCTGCACAGCAACCATTACCCGCAGAAAAGCCTGGCTGAACGGCCCACCTGTTTAGTGGCCAGGTAGGAATCTCGGCCGTATGCCGTGCAAGTGTACGGATACAGATGGTCAGGTATTGATATGGATAGCGTGCATAGGTAGTACGATATACTCCGTAGTTATGTTTATGTGCGCATGGTGCAAAAAAAACACGGATACACAAGGGAGCTTTGCCTAGGGGTCCGAAGGGTTTTCGGACTGTACGTCCCTGTTTCATTCTTGGTTGCTGAAAAGCCGGTCGACTTTTGCGACCCGATCGATCGTCACCAGTTGGCCAGCACTAACGCCGCGCAGGCGCTACGCCGGGCTTTCGCCTGTCAGCGTCCGCTCGCTTGTTCCTACTCTCGTGATCCTTCCCTTGGTCTCAGTGTCAGTGGCAAAAAGATAGTATGGAAAGAGAGAAAGAGAAAGAGGGAGACGTTGGTAGGTAGGCAGTGCAGAACAGTAGCCAGTGGCAGCTATCCATGATGGGTAGGTAGTTCATTGATCTCATGGCGCAGACCGACACGTAAGGACAATGATTTATTCCTGCAAACAAAATGGTTCAAATGTACCTTATGAGAAACATACCCACTCTCTGGCCGAATCAATACAGGTGTTCTCGATGCGCTTCACACAGCTATCCGAGTTCCGGCTGCACCAACGCGAAGGGATGCATGCCCAGAGGCGCTGGGAGAGAGCAGCCTCCGAAGAAAGCTGGGGGGGGGCTGGGGTGATGTTGAGAAGGTTTGAGGCATGTAAGCGGCCCTGCAGACAGGGTTGAGATTCCCTTCGGCTCTAGCACGCTACGCCAATCCCTAATCCCTGCCAATAACCGTCTGCTATTCTTAGCGACGACCGATATAGACAGGCTACCTACACTTTCCTCCTGGTCCCAAACGCTTGGCCTAGTCCCCGTCGCTGCTCCTGTGTCTGGACAGGCGCCTCCTCGCCGGCCTTTGGTGTTTGAGTTTCAGAGTGCCCATGGCACGCTGGCCAGGGGTCCTCGACTCCCACTGCCCTACGGACAGAACAAACTGCCCGAGCCTGGTGTTTGTTTTGCGCCTCTTCGAAGAGTAGGTAAGCTTATTGTG